CTCAGTCCTGGGTCTACAGCTCAGTCTGGGTCTACGCTCAGTCCTGGGTCTACAGCCTCAGTCCTGGGTCTACAGCCTCAGTCCTGGGTCTACAGCCTCAGTCCTGGGTCTACAGCCTCAGTCCTGGGTCTACAGCCTCAGTCCTGGGTCTACAGCCTCAGTCCTGGGTCTACAGCCTCAGTCCTGGGTCTACAGCCTCAGTCCTGGGTCTACAGCCTCAGTCCTGGGTCTACAGCCTCAGTCCTGGGTCTACAGCCTCAGTCCTGGGTCTACAGCCTCAGTCCTGGGTCTACAGCCTCAGTCCTGGGTCTACAGCCTCAGTCCTGGGTCTACAGCCTCAGTCCTGGGTCTACAGCCTCAGTCCTGGGTCTACAGCCTCAGTCCTGGGTCTACAGCCTCAGTCCTGGGTCTACAGCCTCAGTCCTGGGTCTACAGCCTCAGTCCTGGGTCTACAGCCTCAGTCCTGGGTCTACAGCCTCAGTCCTGGGTCTACAGCCTCAGTCCTGGGTCTACAGCCTCAGTCCTGGGTCTACAGCCTCAGTCCTGGGTCTACAGCCTCAGTCCTGGGTCTACAGCCTCAGTCCTGGGTCTACAGCCTCAGTCCTGGGTCTACAGCCTCAGTCCTGGGTCTACAGCCTCAGTCCTGGGTCTACAGCCTCAGTCCTGGGTCTACAGCCTCAGTCCTGGGTCTACAGCCTCAGTCCTGGGTCTACAGCCTCAGTCCTGGGTCTACAGCCTCAGTCCTGGGTCTACAGCCTCAGTCCTGGGTCTACAGCCTCAGTCCTGGGTCTACAGCCTCAGTCCTGGGTCTACAGCCTCAGTCCTGGGTCTACAGCCTCAGTCCTGGGTCTACAGCCTCAGTCCTGGGTCTACAGCCTCAGTCCTGGGTCTACAGCCTCAGTCCTGGGTCTACAGCCTCAGTCCTGGGTCTACAGCCTCAGTCCTGGGTCTACAGCCTCAGTCCTGGGTCTACAGCCTCAGTCCTGGGTCTACAGCCTCAGTCCTGGGTCTACAGCCTCAGTCCTGGGTCTACAGCCTCAGTCCTGGGTCTACAGCCTCAGTCCTGGGTCTACAGCCTCAGTCCTGGGTCTACAGCCTCAGTCCTGGGTCTACAGCCTCAGTCCTGGGTCTACAGCCTCAGTCCTGGGTCTACAGCCTCAGTCCTGGGTCTACAGCCTCAGTCCTGGGTCTACAGCCTCAGTCCTGGGTCTACAGCCTCAGTCCTGGGTCTACAGCCTCAGTCCTGGGTCTACAGCCTCAGTCCTGGGTCTACAGCCTCAGTCCTGGGTCTACAGCCTCAGTCCTGGGTCTACAGCCTCAGTCCTGGGTCTACAGCCTCAGTCCTGGGTCTACAGCCTCAGTCCTGGGTCTACAGCCTCAGTCCTGGGTCTACAGCCTCAGTCCTGGGTCTACAGCCTCAGTCCTGGGTCTACAGCCTCAGTCCTGGGTCTACAGCCTCAGTCCTGGGTCTACAGCCTCAGTCCTGGGTCTACAGCCTCAGTCCTGGGTCTACAGCCTCAGTCCTGGGTCTACAGCCTCAGTCCTGGGTCTACAGCCTCAGTCCTGGGTCTACAGCCTCAGTCCTGGGTCTACAGCCTCAGTCCTGGGTCTACAGCCTCAGTCCTGGGTCTACAGCCTCAGTCCTGGGTCTACAGCCTCAGTCCTGGGTCTACAGCCTCAGTCCTGGGTCTACAGCCTCAGTCCTGGGTCTACAGCCTCAGTCCTGGGTCTACAGCCTCAGTCCTGGGTCTACAGCCTCAGTCCTGGGTCTACAGCCTCAGTCCTGGGTCTACAGCCTCAGTCCTGGGTCTACAGCCTCAGTCCTGGGTCTACAGTCCTGACTGGGTGAGACCCAGGACTGAGACCGTAGACCCAAGACTGAGACCGTAGACCCAGGACTGAGACCGTAGACCCAGGACTGAGACCGTGGACCTAGGACTGAGGCCGTAGACCCAGGACTGGACTGTAAACCCAGGACTGAGCCTTTAGACCCTGGACTGAGGCTGTAGACCCAGGACTGAGACTGTAGACCCAAGACTGAGACCGTAGACCCAGGACTGAGACCGTAGACCCAGGACTGAGACCGTGGACCTAGGACTGAGGCCGTAGACCCAGGACTGGACTGTAAACCCAGGACTGAGCCTTTAGACCCTGGACTGAGGCTGTAGACCCAGGACTGAGACTGTAGACCCAAGACTGAGACCGTAGACCCAGGACTGAGACCGTAGACCTAGGACTGAGACTGTAGACCCTGGACTGAGGCTGTAGACCCAGGACTGAGACTGTAGACCCAGGACTGAGACTGTAGACCCAGGACTGAGGCCGTGGACCCAGGACTGAGACCGTAGACCCAGGACTGAGACTGTAGACCCAGGACTGAGGCTGTAGATCCAGGACTGGACTGTAAACCCAGGACTGAGCCTTTAGACCCAGGACTGAGGCTGTAGATCCAGGACTGAGACTGTAGACCCTGGACTGAGACTGTAGACCCAGGACTGAGACTGTAGACCCAGGACTGAGGCTGTAGACCCAGGACTGAGACTGTAGACCCAGGACTGAGACTGTAGACCCAGGACTGAGGCCGTGGACCCAGGACTGAGACCGTAGACCCAGGACTGAGACTGTAGACCCAGGACTGAGGCTGTAGATCCAGGACTGGACTGTAAACCCAGGACTGAGCCTTTAGACCCAGGACTGAGGCTGTAGACCCAGGACTGAAGCTGTAGATCCAGGACTGGACTGTAAACCCAGGACTGAGGCTGTAGACCCAGGACTGAGGCTGTAGATCCAGGACTGGACTGTAAACCCAGGACTGAGCCTTTAGACCCAGGACTGAGGCTGTAGATCCAGGACTGAGGCCGTAGATCCAGGACTGAGACTGTAGACCCAGGACTGAGCCTTTAGACCCAGGACTGAGACTGTAAACCCAGGACTGAGACCGTAGACCCAGGACTGAGACTGTAGATCCAGGACTGAGGCCGTAGATCCAGGACTGAGACTGTAGACCCAGGACTGAGACTGTAGACCCAGGACTGAGCCTTTAGACCCAGGACTGAGGCTGTAGACCCAGGACTGAGGCTGTAGACCCAGGACTGAGACTGTAGACCCAGGACTGAGCCTTTAGACCCAGGACTGAGCCTGTAGACCCAGGACTGAGACTGTAGACCCAGGACTGAGACTGTAGACCCAGGACTGAGACTGTGTGTGTGTGTGTCTTGACGTGGAAGTCAATAGGAGCCAGAGAGTAGCCAAACTTCACCATGAGCACTTCCCTAGCGGGTTAGCATTGTCCGACCGGAGATTAGCTGTTCCAGTGTGATTTGTACAAAGAGGATGTTTAGTCACTCATTATTTAACCTACTTTCTGATTACGAACAAAGGAGCAATTTACCAGCATTATGCTAATCTCTTATCCGCTAATGCTAATGCTAATGCTAATGCTAATGCAGGCTTTGTAACATGAGCATGTGTTTGAAGCATTGGCCGCACATGAGGAGTGACATCACCATGGTGTTAGCTTAAAGGGTCAGTAAAGGATTCATGTTAGCTTAGCATTAGTCAACACCGCCCCCCCCCCGCCTTCCACCAAACCCAACCCCGGCACATGAACGTGTTTCTGTAACAACAGTCTGTGACGAAGCCTCAGCTCGAAATGTGAACGTTTTACACCTCATTAGGCTCAAGTCTGAGAGAGATTAGCCGCTATGCTACGTGCTAGCTTCTGTGAGAGATTAGCCGCTATGCTACGTGCTAGCTTCTGTGAGAGATTAGCCGCTATGCTAGATACGTGCTAGCTTCTGTGAGAGATTAGCCGCTATGCTACGTGCTAGCTTCTGTGAGAGATTAGCCGCTATGCTAGTGCTAGCTTCTGTGAGAGATTAGCCGCTATGCTACGTGCTAGCTTCTGAGAGAGATTAGCCGCTATGCTACGTGCTAGCTTCTGTGAGAGATTAGCCGCTATGCTACGTGCTAGCTTCTGTGAGAGATTAGCCGCTATGCTACGTGCTAGCTTCTGTGAGAGATTAGCCGCTATGCTAGATACGTGCTAGCTTCTGTGAGAGATTAGCCGCTATGCTACGTGCTAGCTTCTGAGAGAGATTAGCCGCTATGCTACGTGCTAGCTTCTGTGAGAGATTAGCCGCTATATGCTACGTGCTAGCTTCTGTGAGAGAGATTAGCCGCTATGCTACGTGCTAGCTTCTGTGAGAGAGATTAGCCGCTATGCTACGTGCTAGCTTCTGTGAGAGATTAGCCGCTATGCTAGATACGTGCTAGCTTCTGTGAGAGATTAGCCGCTATGCTACGTGCTAGCTTCTGTGAGAGATTAGCCGCTATGCTACGTGCTAGCTTCTGTGAGAGATTAGCCGCTATGCTACGTGCTAGCTTCTGTGAGAGATTAGCCGCTATGCTACGTGCTAGCTTCTGTGAGAGATTAGCCGCTATGCTACGTGCTAGCTTCTGTGAGAGATTAGCCGCTATGCTACGTGCTAGCTTCTGTGAGAGATTAGCCGCTATGCTATGATACGTGCTAGCTTCTGTGAGAGATTAGCCGCTATGCTACGTGCTAGCTTCTGAGAGAGATTAGCCTATGCTATGCTACGTGCTAGCTTCTGTGAGAGATTGCCGCTATGCTACGTGCTAGCTTCTGTGAGAGATTAGCCGCTATGCTACGTGCTAGCTTCTGAGAGAGATTAGCCGCTATGCTACGTGCTAGCTTCTGTGAGAGATTAGCCGCTATGCTAGATACGTGCTAGCTTCTGTGAGAGATTAGCCGCTATGCTACGTGCTAGCTTCTGTGAGAGATTAGCCGCTATGCTACGTGCTAGCTTCTGTGAGAGATTAGCCGCTATGCTAGATATGTGCTAGCTTCTGTGAGAGATTAGCCGCTATGCTACGTGCTAGCTTCTGTGAGAGATTAGCCGCTATGCTACGTGCTAGCTTCTGTGAGAGATTAGCCGCTATGCTACGTGCTAGCTTCTGTGAGAGATTAGCCGCTATGCTACGTGCTAGCTTCTGTGAGAGATTAGCCGCTATGCTACGTGCTAGCTTCTGTGAGAGATTAGCCGCTATGCTAGATACGTGCTAGCTTCTGTGAGAGATTAGCCGCTATGCTAGATACGTGCTAGCTTCTGTGAGAGATTAGCCGCTATGCTACGTGCTAGCCTCTGAGAGAGATTAGCCGCTATGCTACGTGCTAGCTTCTGTGAGAGATTAGCCGCTATGCTACGTGCTAGCTTCTGTGAGAGATTAGCCGCTATGCTAGATATGTGCTAGCTTCTGTGAGAGATTAGCCGCTATGCTACGTGCTAGCTTCTGTGAGAGATTAGCCGCTATGCTACGTGCTAGCTTCTGTGAGAGATTAGCCGCTATGCTAGATACGTGCTAGCTTCTGTGAGAGATTAGCCGCTATGCTAGATACGTGCTAGCTTCTGTGAGAGATTAGCCGCTATGCTACGTGCTAGCTTCTGTGAGAGATTAGCCGCTATGCTACGTGCTAGCTTCTGTGAGAGATTAGCCGCTATGCTACGTGCTAGCTTCTGTGAGAGATTAGCCGCTATGCTACGTGCTAGCTTCTGTGAGAGATTAGCCGCTATGCTACGTGCTAGCTTCTTCTGTGAGAGATTAGCCGCTATGCTATGTGCTAGCTTCTGTGAGAGATTAGCCGCTATGCTAGATACGTGCTAGCTTCTGTGAGAGATTAGCCGCTATGCTAGATACGTGCTAGCTTCTGTGAGAGATTAGCCGCTATGCTACGTGCTAGCTTCTGTGAGAGATTAGCCGCTATGCTACGTGCTAGCTTCTGTGAGAGATTAGCCGCTATGCTAGATACGTGCTAGCTTCTGTGAGAGATTAGCCGCTATGCTACGTGCTAGCTTCTGAGAGAGATTAGCCGCTATGCTACGTGCTAGCTTCTGTGAGAGATTAGCCGCTATGCTACGTGCTAGCTTCTGTGAGAGATTAGCCGCTATGCTACGTGCTAGCTTCTGAGAGAGATTAGCCGCTATGCTACGTGCTAGCTTCTGTGAGAGATTAGCCGCTATGCTACGTGCTAGCTTCTGTGAGAGATTAGCCGCTATGCTACGTGCTAGCTTCTGTGAGAGATTAGCCGCTATGCTAGATATGTGCTAGCTTCTGTGAGAGATTAGCCGCTATGCTACGTGCTAGCTTCTGTGAGAGATTAGCCGCTATGCTACGTGCTAGCTTCTGTGAGAGATTAGCCGCTATGCTACGTGCTAGCTTCTGTGAGAGATTAGCCGCTATGCTACGTGCTAGCTTCTGTGAGAGATTAGCCGCTATGCTACGTGCTAGCTTCTGTGAGAGATTAGCCGCTATGCTAGATACGTGCTAGCTTCTGTGAGAGATTAGCCGCTATGCTAGATACGTGCTAGCTTCTGTGAGAGATTAGCCGCTATGCTACGTGCTAGCTTCTGAGAGAGATTAGCCGCTATGCTACGTGCTAGCTTCTGTGAGAGATTAGCCGCTATGCTACGTGCTAGCTTCTGTGAGAGATTAGCCGCTATGCTAGATATGTGCTAGCTTCTGTGAGAGATTAGCCGCTATGCTACGTGCTAGCTTCTGTGAGAGATTAGCCGCTATGCTACGTGCTAGCTTCTGTGAGAGATTAGCCGCTATGCTAGATACGTGCTAGCTTCTGTGAGAGATTAGCCGCTATGCTAGATACGTGCTAGCTTCTGTGAGAGATTAGCCGCTATGCTACGTGCTAGCTTCTGTGAGAGATTAGCCGCTATGCTACGTGCTAGCTTCTGTGAGAGATTAGCCGCTATGCTACGTGCTAGCTTCTGTGAGAGATTAGCCGCTATGCTACGTGCTAGCTTCTGTGAGAGATTAGCCGCTATGCTACGTGCTAGCTTCTGTGAGAGATTAGCCGCTATGCTAGATATGTGCTAGCTTCTGTGAGAGATTAGCCGCTATGCTCGGTGCTAGCTTCTGTGAGAGATTAGCCGCTATGCTACGTGCTAGCTTCTGTGAGAGATTAGCCGCTATGCTACGTGCTAGCTTCTGTGAGAGATTAGCCGCTATGCTACGTGCTAGCTTCTGTGAGAGATTAGCCGCTATGCTATACGTGCTAGCTTCTGTGAGAGATTAGCCGCTATGCTAGATATGTGCTAGCTTCTGTGAGAGATTAGCCGCTATGCTACGTGCTAGCTTCTGTGAGAGATTAGCCGCTATGCTCGGTGCTAGCTTCTGTGAGAGATTAGCCGCTATGCTACGTGCTAGCTTCTGTGAGAGATTAGCCGCTATGCTACGTGCTAGCTTCTGTGAGAGATTAGCCGCTATGCTACGTGCTAGCTTCTGAGAGAGATTAGCCGCTATGCTACGTGCTAGCTTCTGTGAGAGATTAGCCGCTATGCTACGTGCTAGCTTCTGTGAGAGATTAGCCGCTATGCTACGTGCTAGCTTCTCCCACAGAGCCCCGGCCCTGCGTCTCTTTCACACCTTTTCCTGCAGGTAAATTTGTCACTTTGGAGTTTTCTCTTCAGCCATTACACAAGTCTTGATATTTTTTTCCTGATTACGATTTTGTCTCGATATCGATACTAAAGGTTTTCTTGCTGCCTGTGGGTAGAGTCAGTGTAGATTAAAAACAAGCTTGTTATTTGTAAAGTGCTTCACTTTTTAAACATTTATTAACATTAAAAATCCCAAAAATAACGCCTCCACGCGTCATGTGACTGGGTCCTCTGCTGTGATTGGCTTTCCTGGCACACATTTGACCAATGGGTTTCTTTCTATTTCTTCAAAAACGTAATAATTTATTTTTTGAGGCTACATCTGGTCCATTTCTCTTTTAAAACGTGACTTTTGAGTTTAGAAGGTTTCCCAAAGTATTTAATGTCGTCAGGATAAATCATGTTCTGTATCTTTGACACTGATTTGAAGAAAGCTGGAGCATGTTTCCTTATATGGGCGTCTGTCACGGCGGCGTTAGCATCACGCAGGGAACGAAGTGTCGCTAAAGTGGTTTGCTTCCCCCGCAAATCTAGACGTCTGATTGGTCGATCTAAGGCTCGTATTTGGATCGACAAAGACAATATCCAAATATATAAAGATGAGGTTTTAACAGTTTAAAGGAGTTGGAGCTAAACTTCCTCCATGAGCACTTTCCTATTGGTCTTCATGGAGCTTTAACATCAGACAGATGCAGAAGTATTTTAAAACCAGTTTCTTTTCCCCAATAATAAATCACAGTTTGTGTTTGTGTATAGTCAGAGTGTGTTGCTGCCGCGGCGACAGGAGATATCCTGCCCCTCCTCTCGACACCTGACACCTCCAGAATTCCTCAGTCCTGAAAGCCTCGGATCCTTTTGCACAAACAGAACCCTGTGGGAAGTTATGTGAACTATGTGGACCCAGCTCAGAAACTCAGAACCACAGCAGCTCAGAAACTTAGAACCACAGCAGCTCAGAACCACAGCAGCTCAGAACCACAGCAGCTCAGAACCACAGCAGCTCAGAAACTCAGAACCACAGCAGCTCAGAACCACAGCAGCTCAGAAACTCAGAACCACAGCAGCTCAGAAACTTAGAACCACAGCAGCTCAGAACCACAGCAGCTCAGAACCACAGCAGCTCAGAACCACAGCAGCTCAGAAACTCAGAACCACAGCAGCTCAGAAACTCAGAACCACAGCAGCTCAGAACCACAGCAGCTCAGAACCACAGCAGCTCAGAAACTTAGAACCACAGCAGCTCAGAAACTTAGAACCACAGCAGCTCAGAAACTTAGAACCACAGCAGCTCAGAAACTCAGAACCACAGCAGCTCAGAATCTCAGAACCACAGCAGCTCAGAACCACAGCAGCTCAGAACCACAGCAGCTCAGAACCACAGCAGCTCAGAAACTCAGAACCACAGCAGCTCAGAAACTCAGAACCACAGCAGCTCAGAAACTCAGAACCACAGCAGCTCAGAACCACAGCAGCTCAGAATCTCAGAACCACAGCAGCTCAGAACCACAGCAGCTCAGAACCACAGCAGCTCAGAACCACAGCAGCTCAGAACCACAGCAGCTCAGAAACTCAGAACCACAGCAGCTCAGAAACTCAGAACCACAGCAGCTCAGAACCACAGCAGCTCAGAACCACAGCAGCTCAGAAACTCAGAACCACAGCAGCTCAGAAACTCAGAACCACAGCAGCTCAGAACCACAGCAGCTCAGAAACTCAGAACCACAGCAGCTCAGAACCACAGCAGCTCAGAAACTTAGAACCACAGCAGCTCAGAAACTTAGAACCACAGCAGCTCAGAAACTCAGAACCACAGCAGCTCAGAACCACAGCAGCTCAGAAACTCAGAACCACAGCAGCTCAGAACCACAGCAGCTCAGAAACTTAGAACCACAGCAGCTCAGAAACTCAGAACCACAGCAGCTCAGAAACTTAGAACCACAGCAGCTCAGAAACTTAGAACCACAGCAGCTCAGAAACTCAGAACCACAGCAGCTCAGAAACTCAGAACCACAGCAGCTCAGAACCACAGCAGCTCAGAAACTCAGAACCACAGCAGCTCAGAACCACAGCAGCTCAGAAACTCAGAACCACAGCAGCTCAGAACCACAGCAGCTCAGAAACTCAGAACCACAGCAGCTCAGAAACTCAGAACCACAGCAGCTCAGAATCTCAGAACCACAGCAGCTCAGAACCACAGCAGCTCAGAAACTCAGAACCACAGCAGCTCAGAAACTCAGAACCACAGCAGCTCAGAAACTTAGAACCACAGCAGCTCAGAAACTTAGAACCACAGCAGCTCAGAAACTTAGAACCACAGCAGCTCAGAAACTCAGAACCACAGCAGCTCAGAACCACAGCAGCTCAGAAACTCAGAACCACAGCAGCTCAGAAACTCAGAACCACAGCAGCTCAGAACCACAGCAGCTCAGAAACTCAGAACCACAGCAGCTCAGAACCACAGCAGCTCAGAAACTTAGAACCACAGCAGCTCAGAAACTTAGAACCACAGCAGCTCAGAAACTCAGAACCACAGCAGCTCAGAACCACAGCAGCTCAGAAACTCAGAACCACAGCAGCTCAGAACCACAGCAGCTCAGAAACTCAGAACCACAGCAGCTCAGAAACTTAGAACCACAGCAGCTCAGAAACTCAGAACCACAGCAGCTCAGAACCTCAGAAACTCAGAACCACAGCAGCTCAGAAACTTAGAACCACAGCAGCTCAGAAACATAGAACCACAGCAGCTCAGAAACTTAGAACCACAGCAGCTCAGAACCACAGCAGCTCAGAAACTCAGAACCACAGCAGCTCAGAACCACAGCAGCTCAGAAACTTAGATTCCATTTATTTTAGGAATGCACCGGTACCTTTTTTCAAAACCGATACGATACGAGTCATTTGTGTTCATCAAACTAATACAACTGAAATTTACAAATGGTACAGAGAAATAGCCCAGGTGCTAACTCTGGTGCTAACTCTGGTGCTAACTTTGGTGCTAACTCTGGTGCTAACTTTGGTGCTAACTCTGGTGCTAACTCTGGTGCTAACTTTGGTGCTAACTCTGGTGCTAACTCTGGTGCTAACTCTGGTGCTAACTCTGGTGCTAACTCTGGTGCTAACTCTGGTGCTAACTTTGGTGCTAACTCTGGTGCTAACTCTGGTGCTAACTCTGGTGCTAACTCTGGTGCTAACTCTGGTGCTAACTTTGGTGCTAACTCTGGTGCTAACTCTGGTGCTAACTCTGGTGCTAACTTTGGTGCTAACTCTGGTGCTAACTCTGGTGCTAACTCTGGTGCTAACTCCGGGTTAGGACAGGTCCTCTGTCAGGTCCTCTGTCAGGTTCTATGTAGGTTCTCTGTCAGGTCCTCTGTCAGGTCCTCTGTCAGGTTCTCTGTAGGTTCTCTGTCAGGTTCTCTGTAGGTTCTCTGTCAGGTTCTCTGTAGGTTCTCTGTAGGTTCTCTGTCAGGTTCTCTGTCAGGTCCTCTGTCAGGTTCTCTGTAGGTTCTCTGTAGGTTCTCTGTCAGGTTCTCTGTCAGGTCCTCTGTCAGGTTCTCTGTAGGTTCTCTGTAGGTTCTCTGTCAGGTTCTCTGTCAGGTCCTCTGTCAGGTCCTCTGTCAGGTTCTCTGTAGGTTCTCTGTCAGGTTCTCTGTCAGGTCCTCTGTCAGGTTCTCTGTAGGTTCTCTGTCAGGTTCTCTGTAGGTTCTCTGTCAGGTTCTCTGTAGGTTCTCTGTAGGTTCTCTGTCAGGTTCTCTGTCAGGTCCTCTGTCAGGTTCTCTGTAGGTTCTCTGTAGGTTCTCTGTCAGGTTCTCTGTCAGGTCCTCTGTCAGGTTCTCTGTAGGTTCTCTGTAGGTTCTCTGTCAGGTTCTTTGTCAGGTCCTCTGTCAGGTTCTCTGTCAGGTTCTCTGTAGGTTCTCTGTCAGGTTCTCTGTAGGTTCTCTGTCAGGTTCTCTGTAGGTTCTCAGTCAGGTTCTCTGTAGGTTCTCTGTCAGGTTCTCTGTCAGGTTCTCTGTAGGTTCTCTGTCAGGTCCTCTGTCAGGTTCTCTGTCAGGTTCTCTGTAGGTTCTCAGTCAGGTTCTCTGTAGGTTCTCAGTCAGGTTCTCTGTCAGGTTCTCAGTCAGGTTCTCTGTAGGTTCTCAGTCAGGTTCTCTGTCAGGTTCTCTGTAGGTTCTCTGTCAGGTCCTCTGTCAGGTTCTCTGTCAGGTTCTATGTAGGTTCTCTGTAGGTTCTCTGTCAGGTTCTAAGTCAGGTGAGTTTAGTGTGGTTTATTGTGCAGCACCTGGAGGATCTCCTGAGCACATGTCCTTCAGCTGTAAGCTCGTATCCAGGTATAATCATAGATCTATGGATATTGATTGTCCAAATATTAACACATTTTCAAATATATTCTAATGTTAATAAAACAAAGAGGTGTGAATATGGTTCCAGTCCCAGGTATGTCCTGTCTGCTCTGAACAAGCCTCGTTGAGTAACAGTCTCTGCCCCACTGCATTCTGGGTAAAAGTAAACACATTAGCTCACTCTCCCCTCAGGGCTCGGTTTAAGAAGAGAGAAAGAGGAAACTATCTATATCCTCCTCTCTCTCTCTCTCTCTCTCTCTCCTCCTCCTCACTCTCCCCCCTCTCCCTCTTTCTCTCTCTCTCCCCTCTCTCTCTCTCTCTCTCTCTCTCCCCTGTCTCTCTCTCTCCCCTCTCTCTCTCTCTCCCCTGTCTCTCTCTCTCCCCTCTCTCTCTCCTCCTCCTCACTCTCCCCCCTCTCTCTCACTCTCCTTCCACTTGAGCACTATTGTCTCCTCACTTCCTGTTGACAGACGCCTCCTCTTCAGGTAGGACACTTTGGAGGCGGGGCTTGAACGCACCTGTGTAAACCTGCTCTGGCCAATCACAGCTGACTCTGAGCAAAAGCAAAAACACTAAACAAAAGTGTGTCCTGAGGAGCAGGAGGAGGAGGAGCAGGAGGAAGAGGAGCAGGAGGAGGAGGAGCAGGAGGAGCAGGAGGAGGAGGAGCAGGAGGAGGAGCAGGAGGAGGCGTGGCCCTCTCTTTCATGTCCCTCAGACCTGTTCTTTAACCGTGAAGCTCTGACAAAAGCCTCTGTCTGTGTTTGTTTGGTCTGAAACGAGAACGAGACTGCGGTCTGCGAGTCCAGTCACGTCTGCAGGACCTGGACCTGGATCTGGACCAGGACTTAGACCTGGACCTGTCAGAGCTGAGAAAAGTCAGGATGTGGTTTTGTTTTTTGTTTTAGTTCTTACGGAGAGAGAAAACTGTGGTGATCCAGGAAACACTTATGGACCGATACATGTGTTTCTGATTCTCTGATCTGCTGTTGGAGAATCGACAGTTTTGTAAATTCCTCAGAGAAAACTATTGTTGCTGCGATTTAGGGCAATAATAACATAACTTGGAGGTGCTTTGTAGAAGGTTTTAGCTGAAGCTAATGTTGCTCTCTCTGAGACACACACACACACACAGACACACACACACACACACACACAGAGACACACACACACACAGAGACACACACAGACACACACACACACACAGACACAAACACACACAGACACACACACACAGACACACACACAGACACAGAGATACACACACAGAGATACACACAGAGATACACACACACACAGAGACACACACACACACACACACACACAGAGACACACACACAGAGACACACACACTCAGACACAGTGTGTGCTCCTCCTGTGGCTCCTCCTCCTCGTCTTCAGAGATGCAGAGCCCACAGTGTTCTAACTATTCATGACTGATGATTAATGCCAAATGGTTTTGGACACCGCTGTAATCTGTACGTATCCACCCTACATATCAACTCTACATATCCACCCTACATATCAACCCTACATATCAACCCTACGTATCCACCCTACATATCAACTCTACATATCAACCCTACATATCAACCCTACATATCAACCCTACGTATCCACCCTACATATCAACTCTACATATCAACCCTACATATCAACCCTACATATCAACCCTACGTATCAACCCTACGTATCCACCCTACGTATCCACCCTACGTATCCACTCTACGTATCCACCCTACGTATCCACCCTACATATCAACCCTACGTATCCACCCTACGTATCCACCCTACGTATCCACCCTACGTATCCACCCTACATATCAACCCTACGTATCCACCCTACGTATCCACCCTACATATCAACCCTACGTATCCACCCTACGTATCCACCCTACATATCAACCCTACATATTAGGGGTGGGCGATATGGCCTAAAATTCATATTGCGGTATAATTTGGGACACAGACGGTAGACGGTATATATTGCGGTATAATTTGGTGTGTGAATTGTAGGTCTAGCAGGTTCTTGCATAAAATAGTCAAGATTGTTACTTATTTATATATTATAATCTAGTATATATATTTGTAGTATAGTTGTGAAACAAATGCTGTAACACATTATTTATGTATGTAACAGTAAAGACCATTTACTGTAAAAGAAAATAAAAAAGAAAGACATATACATTCATTTAAAATATAAAAAACTCAAATGTTGAAATCAAAGCCTGTAGACGTTAGATATGGTCATTATTTATAGTGTCTGAGAGTTTTGTGCAGGTACATGGCTTCAGTAAAAGCTATTGTTCGTTTACAAAGCCGGTCTTGACATTTGTTGACGCTTCCTGAGCGTTTTCTCTGCGCTTGCAGTGAACCGGATGATTCAATGGATTTATCTGCATTAAAAAAGCACATTGGATTTGAACAATTTATGTAAATGGTCATTTTGGCACAATTAACTTTGTTTAACAAAGTAGCTTTCGTGAGCTATTGACCGCGGAGGTCCGAATCTGACGCTAACTTTCCCAAACTTCTGATGTGATGATGCTGCGGACATGGCACACGCATGGATCTATTTTGGCTCACACTGGCGCTTCGAGCCTACACGATTGGCCTAAAGTAGAACACTTAAACTGTGATTACTGTGTGTGTATTTACCTCTGCCGGGGCCGCTGTGACAACAATACACAGACAGAAACACGGTGTGAATGCCGTGCTGTTGTTTGCCGTTTCCAGTGGTGTCTGCTAGGCTAATGCTGCTAGGCTAATGCTGCTAGGCTAATGTGCAAGGCTAATGTGCTAGGCTAATGCTGCTAGGCTCATGCGCTAGGCTAATGCTGCTGAATGCCGGTTTGTTTTGATGCTCTCTGTTGGCGTCAGAGTCTGCGCAATTTGATGACATAATGACCTATTGCAATATGCCGGTTTAACAAAAATCTCTACCGTGGGCCAAATTTATATCGCATACCGCTTATACCGTTTATATCGCCCAGCCCTACTACATATCAACCCTACGTATCCACCCTACATATCAACCCTACGTATCCACCCTACATATTAACCCTACATATCCACCCTACATATCAACCCTACATATCCACCCTACATATCAACCCTACATATCCACCCTACATATCAACCCTACATATCCACTCTACGTATCAACCCTACATATCCACTCTACATATCAACCCTACATATCCACCCTACATATCAACCCTACATATCCACTCTACATATCAACCCTACGTATCCACCCTACATATCAACCCTACATATCCACCCTACATATCAACCCTACATATCAACCCTACATATCAACCCTACATATCAACCCTACGTATCAACCCTACGTATCCACCCTACGTATCCACCCTACATATCAACCCTACATATCCACCCTACATATCAACCCTACATATCCACTCTACATATCAACCCTACGTATCCACCCTACATATCAACCCTACATATCCACCCTACATATCAACCCTACATATCCACCCTACATATCAACCCTACATATCAACCCTACATATCAACCCTACATATCCACCCTACATATCAACCCTACATATCAACCCTACATATCAACCCTACATATCCACTCTACGTATCAACCCTACATATCCACCCTACATATCAACCCTACATATCAACCCTACGTATCAACCCTACGTATCCACGCTACGTATCCACCCTACGTATCCACCCTACATATCAACCCTACGTATCAACCCTACGTATCCACCCTACGTATCCACCCTACGTATCCACCCTACGTATCCACCCTACGTATAACAGCCCCTGTGGTTGTGTAGTTGTACTTCCTGTTGTGTGTTGCCTTTTTCTCGTTAGTCGTGTGTGTTCTTAATAATAATAATAAAGAATCGGTTTTATTCAGTGCTTTCTGGACTCTCAAAGTCTCTTCACATCATTATCCTCTCTCTCCAAACACACAGGTGATAAACCTGTGTGTGTGCGCCTGTGTGTGTGTGTGTGTGCGCCTGTGTGTGTGTGTGTGTGTGCGCCTGTGTGTGTGTGTGTGTGTGTGTGCGCCTGTGTGTGTGTGTGTGTGTGTGTGTGTGCGCCTGTGTGTATGCGTGCATGTGTGTGTGTGCGCCTGTGTGTGTGTGTGTGGTGGGAGGTGTGTGTTTGGGCGCGGTACATGAGATTATGAATGGTAATACTCATGCAGGGCACGGGGAAAGAGAGACGTCTGTTTGGGAGGCCATCATTTTTGTTGACCGCTATTATAGTTTTGTTTGATATATTGTTGCTATTTTTTTAATCACTAATATTTTCTGTATTCACCACACATTATGGCCTGTGACCGCAGCGTTTATTATGATCCATTCTCTTTGTTTGTTTTCTACTTATTTAGCGCGTCATACACTTTTATCGGACCCAACTCCCCTCTCCGCAGCTTTAGGCAACAGGCAGAGCTATAGTTTTAAATAGAAGAAGTGTGTGATGTGTATTTTGTATTTTGTATTTTATTTATTTAAAAAGGGACAGTGTACAATTAGAACATAAATGCCTCCATTTGATGCATTGTACCGGAGTTAGCCTGAGGCTAATTAGCATCCGTAGTCCCCCGGCAGGAAGAACACTACATACAGGTGGGTATAAAATAACACAAGCACATACCATAAAATACACATTTGTATACAGTCAGCAGATACACACAGAGCAGACGCACAAACGCACAATCACAGACGTATTCCAACACACATGCGCACAATTACACACAGTTACACACGCACACAAACACACACACTCAGGTGGCATCAGTACCTTTGGGCCTATGGATAATGATCACATCTTTGCTCACTCTTTAAGTGTCTTTTCAGTTCCATCTTAAAGCCTTCCAGTGTAGCACATGACTTAATAGAGTTAGGAAGAGCATTCCACTGCGTAGAGGCCTTCACAGAGAAGGCGGAGAGACCAAACGCAGAGCGACGGAAGGGGATCATACAATCGCGCACCGAGGCTATTCTCGTGGATCTAATTGAGTGTATTGCCCTATAGTTCACAAATGATTTTAAACAGTCAGGAGCCAGGCCATTTAGAACTTTGAAAACGAGACACAGGTTAGAAAAGCGTCTGAAGTTTTCAAGACTCAAAAAATTATATTTTACTAAGATATTACAGTGATGGTGCCTCAGAGGCTTTTTGTCTAAGATTTTTAGTGCCTGTTTATGCACTGACTCAAGAGGTCTCACTACTGCTTCACCAGCCTGCCCCCAACATGTGACACTGCCCCCAACATGTGACACTGCCCCCAACATGTGACACTGCCCCCAACATGTGACACTGCCCCCAACATGTGACACAGTACGATAAATGCGATAAAATAAGCGCATGCATAAATGTTCTAGCTGCCTCAAGGGAGAGACAGGGTCTAATATGTCTGAAATTGGCAAGGTTGAATTTGAGAGTTCTTGTCATGTTTTTAACGTGTTTTTTGAAATTCAAGTTAGCGTCTAGAGTAACCCCAAGATACATGTATTCAGCAACATTTGTATGTATGTATGAGCTGTGGCTGTGATCTGTGCAAAGCACTCATAAGTGCAGCTCTGTGTGTGTGTGTGTGTGTGTGTGTGTGTGTGTGTGTGTGTGTGTGTGTGTGTGTGTGTCTGTGTGCGTGTGTGTGTGCGTGTCTGTGTGTGTGTGTCTGTGTGCGTGTGTGTGTGTCTGTGTGCGTGCGTGCGTGTCTGTGTGTGTGTGTGTGTGTGTGTGTCTGTGTGCGTGCGTGCGTGTCTGTGTGTGTGTCTGTGTGCGTGCGTGTCTTTATGGTGCATTCAGACCGCCAACGCTGAAACGCTGAAGCCCCGCTCACCCAACGCACATTCTCTGGACTTCACACCAGAACGTCCTGACTCGAGCCGGAAGTAGCCGGCTCTGATGCTAACAGAGCTATGCTAGCGGCTTCTTGTGCACAGATCTTCTCCAATATGCAGCTTCGCAGCGTGTCTTTGCTCACAGACATTCCACTGGCTTTATATAACAGTAGTATGTGTTCACGGAGGTGACTTTATATAACAGCAGTATGTGTTCACGGAGGTGACTTTATATAACAGCAGTATGTGTTCACGGAGGTCACTTTATATAACAGCAGTATGTGTTCACGGAGGTGACTTTATATAACAGCAGTATGTGTTCACGGAGGTGACTTTATATAACAGCAGTATGTGTTCACGGAGGTGACTTTATATAACAGCAGTATGTGTTCACGGAGGTGACTTTATATAACAGCAGTATGTGTTCACGGAGGTGACTTTATATAACAGCAGTATGTGTTCACGGAGGTGACTTTATATAACAGCAGTATGTGTTCACGGTGACTTTATATAACAGCAGTATGTGTTCACGGAGGTGACTTTATATAACAGCAGTATGTGTTCACGGAGGTGACTTTATATAACAGTAGTATGTGTTCACGGAGGTGACTTTATATAACAGCAGTATGTGTTCACGGAGGTGACTTTATATAACAGCAGTATGTGTTCACGGAGGTGACTTTATATAACAGCAGTATGTGTTCACGGAGGTGACTTTATATAACAGCAGTATGTGTTCACGGAGGTGACTTTATATAACAGCAGTATGTGTTCACGGAGGTGACTTTATATAACAGCAGTATGTGTTCACGGTGACTTTATATAACAGCAGTATGTGTTCACGGAGGTGACTTTATATAACAGCAGTATGTGTTCACGGAGGTGACTTTATATAACAGCAGTATGTGTTCACGGTGACTTTATATAACAGCAGTATGTGTTCACGGAGGTGACTTTATATAACAGCAGTATGTGTTCACGGAGGTGACTTTATATAACAGCAGTATGTGTTCACGGTGACTTTATATAACAGCAGTATGTGTTCACGGTGACTTTATATAACAGCAGTATGTGTTCACGGAGGTGACTTTATATAACAGCAGTATGTGTTCACGGAGGTGACTTTATATAACAGTAGTATGTGTTCACGGTCACTTTATATAACAGCAGTATGTGTTCATGGAGGTGACTTTATATAACAGTAGTATGAACACACTCGAAGTTGCATAAGGTCACGGGAGCATGACAACACATATTTTCACAAGCACAGAGTCCTCCATTGTCAGCCCTGGTTTGAGTTCTGGTGAAGTCTGGTGTGGGTCCTGTTTTGGCTGTTTACAGTATTTTCAGTCTGCTCGCTCAGTCCGCTAATGTCCCCGTGACCACTTTGCTGCTCTCTGATTGGTTGTCGCACGAACGTCCCAAGGAAAGGATGAGCAGAATCCATCTCCTGTGGGCGTTGATTTTTCGCTCCTGCTCCTCCCTTTTCACTTTCCCACCAAGTCCGTGCATCTCTAATGAACAGTCTGTGCGTCTCTACTGAACAGTCTGTGCGTCATTATTGAACAGTCTGTGCGTCATTATTGAACAGTCTGTGCGTCATTATTGAACAGTCTGTGCGTCATTATTGAACAGTTTGTGTGTCATTATTGAACAGTCCGTGTGTCATTATTGAACAGTCTGTGCGTCATTATTGAACAGTCTGTGCGTCATTATTGAACAGTTTGTGTGTCATTATTGAACAGTCTGTGCGTCATTATTGAACAGTTTGTGTGTCATTATTGAACAGTCTGTGCGTCATTATTGAACAGTTTGTGTGTCATTATTGAACAGTCTGTGCGTCATTATTGAACAGTTTGTGTGTCATTATTGAACAGTCTGTGTGTCATTATTGAACAGTCTGTGTGTCATTATTGAACAGTCTGTGTGTCATTATTGAACAGTCTGTGTGTCATTATTGAACAGTTCGTGTGTCATTATTGAACAGTCTGTGTGTCATTATTGAACAGTCTGTGTGTCATTATTGAACAGTTCGTGTGTCATTATTGAACAGTTTGTGTGTCATTATTGAACAGTCTGTGCGTCATTATTGAACAGTCTGTGCGTCATTATTGAACAGTTTGTGTGTCATTATTGAACAGTCTGTGTGTCATTATTGAACAGTCTGTGTGTCATTATTGAACAGTTTGTGTGTCATTATTGAACAGTCTGTGTGTCATTATTGAACAGTCTGTGCGTCATTATTGAACAGTCTGTGCGTCATTATTGAACAGTCTGTGCGTCATTATTGAACAGTCTGTGTGTCATTATTGAACAGTCTGTGCGTCATTATTGAACAGTTTGTGTGTCATTATTGAACAGTCTGTGTGTCATTATTGAACAGTCTGTGCGTCATTATTGAACAGTCTGTGCGTCATTATTGAACAGTCCGTTCGTGCCGAGAGTGCGTTGTGACGGTCGAACCCGACGCAGCATGATCCGGTCTGAAAGCACCATCAGTCTGTGTGTGTGTGTGTGTGTGTGTGTCTGTGTGTGTGTGTGTGTGTGTGTGTGTCTGTGTGTGTGTGTGTGTGTGTGTGTCTGTGTGTGTGTGTGTCTGTGTGTGTGTGTGTGTCTGTGTGTGTGTGTGTGTCTGTGTGTGTGTGTGTCTGTGTGTGTCTGTGTGTGTGTGTGTGTGTGTGTGCGGTGAGGAGAGAGCGCCTCGGAGGTAGAGGGGACAGAGCGAGAGAAAAAAGAGCGAGGTGTATGTAAAGTTTAGCGGATTAACATTACGCAAAAAATAAATGGTAGATTTATGATCAGGAAACAATTATTTAAATTAATACATGAAAAAAATGACACACGTTTGTTAATAATCATTGTCATTAACAAATACTTATAACCAGGACTACAGCAGATACCAACGTTTAATAATGTGGTAAATATATTATTCCATTGTATTTTCAATGGAAAATGGACCCGACACGCGTCGACGGAACAAAAAGGATTGTTTCTATTTCGTCCGTCTGCGTCCGTTGCACCCTCCGTTAACGGAATGCGTCCGACGTGCGTCGAACAGACGGATGTTGGAGGCAGTGGAGCCGCTTCCATTCACTCTCATGGAGATAACGGAGACGGAGATGAAACGGACACGTCACACTAACCCTCACCTTTATTATTGTGTTTCTTTACAAGGCACAGCAGCTTTTTTTTTTTTACGCGGAAGGAAACTGAGGAGTGACTGAGACTGAACCTGTAAAGTATAAAAACTCAGAGTTTGATGGTTCTATATTTGTAAATCGTGTTTCCCTCAAGTCTGTAAAACCAGCTGTTCCGTTCCCAGCACATAAGCGTTAAAGATCTAATAATAACATGTATTTAAACGGCAACAAACTCTCCAACTCCATACAATACTGGGTTGCCGTTGGTGACCATAGCAACGGTTGCCATGACAACTCCTTCAGAATCATTACATCATCGAATAGAACCTTTAGAGGCTTTGTTAGGAGTAGACCAGAACATCCACCTAACCAAACTCAGAGAGAGACAGAGGGGAACAACTTTATTATCTATAAGTGACCGTATCTGTAGCTATTACGATGAGTTCTGCTTTAGGCCTTCCAAAACCAGGGGCTCTACCAAAACTGCCTCCCATCAAGTCCGGTCTGCTGGGACTACTGCCCCAACTGGGCACCAACTTCCAGGGCCTTCTGTGCCAAGACGCCAAGAACCACAAACGGAGAAGTAAGAAAAAGCGTTTAACGTTGACTCCAATGGAGAAAGAGGAGCACCTGCAGGGAGCACATCCAGAAACTACCAAAGATATTATAGGAAAGAATAATGCTGAGAATGGGCAATTATCATTCCAAAAACATAAAGCAGTATCAGAGTTGGAAGAAGATGTAGAGTCAGAGGACCTTTTGACGGTCAGCACTCTTCTTCCACCACTGCCTTCACTTCCACGGGACAAAGTCGGCCGACAAAAGAGCAACGACCAAAAGATAAGTTTTGTTCCAATGAAAAAGAAAGAACAAGAGTTTGATATGGAAACTGCAAAACCAGAGAAAAGGCCTCGCTCTTTCCTAAAATCCAGACCCAAATTGTCTCAAGAAAGTGACGTCAAGAGAGACACGAGTGAAGACGACTTTTTGGAGCTTTTAGAATCCATGAACATTGACATTGCAGATCTTGCAGATGTTCTACAGGATGCATCAGCCTCAGAAGGAGAAATAATATGTCAGGCTTCTTCTCCACAACATGACGAGACGGATCATGAGGCCGGTCTAGACTTTCTGAACACTTCTCTGGACCAAAGCTATGAAGAATGGTTGAAACTCCAACCCAACACTGGAGCACTTGTGTCCGGGTGTGATTTGGAATCCGACAGTGAGAAGCCTGCACCGCCAGCGACATCTCCAGTGAGTTCAGAAGCATTCAACAAGTCTCAGGATGAGCTGGAGAAGTTCGAAAAGGAGGAGGAGGAACGCCTGGAGGCCGAGAGCAAAGACAGACTTGAGTCTCTGCAAGGAAAAAGGCAAGCGGAAGAGAAAAGGATGAAGGAAGAATCTGCAAAAGAGTTAGAAGAACTCCAAGAGACTCTCAAAGCAGATCGCAAACGGCAAGAGCTTGAAATACGGAAAGAAAACACTGCTATACTTGAAATCAAGTCCAGTCTGCTGGGATCACTGCCCACACTGGGCACCAACTTCCAGGGCCGTCTGTGCCAAGATGGTAAGAACCCAGGAGAAGTCCGTAAACCGAAAAGCAAGAAAAAGCATGTGACGTTTGCTCCGATGGAGAAGAAAGAACAAGGGTTTGATATGGAAACTGCACAATCAGAGAAAAGGCCTCGCTCTTTCCTAAAATCAAGACCCAAATTGTCTCAAGAACGTGACGACGTCAAGAGAGATGAGACAAGTGAAGACGACGGATTGGACCTTTTTGAGTCCATGAACCTTCATATTGACACTGCAGATCTTGCAGATGTTCTACAGGATGGATCAGCCTCAGAGGGAGAAATAATATGTCAGGCTTCTTCACCACAACATGACGAGGCGGATCATGAGGCCGGTCTAGACTTTCTGAACACTTCTCTGGACCAAAGTCATGAAGAATGGTTGAAACTCCAATCCAACACTGGAGCACCAGGAGGTCATGTATCTCAGGAAGAAAGCTCAGAGCTGGGGTTAGTTTGTCCGACTCCTTCAAGTCACAGTCCACTGCCACCTTCACCAACTCCTTTATCATGGATGGAAGATGAGATTCTGACAAACGTAAGTGCTGAGTCCATGTATGAATCTGATTTTGAATCCGACAGTGAGAAGCCTGCACCTACAGCAATATCTCCAGTGAGTTCAGAAGCATTCAACAAGTGTCAGGATGAGCTGGAGAAGTTCGAAAGGGAGGAGGAGGAACGCCTGGAGGCCGAGAGCAAAGACAGACTTGAGTCTCTGCATCAGTCACTGTTGGAAAAAAGGGAAGCAGAAGAGAAAAGGATGAAGGAAGAATCTGAGAAAGCGTTAGAAGACCTTCAAGAAACCCTCAAAGCCGATAGAAAACGGCTAGAACGTGAAATACGGGAAGAAAATAACATTATTCTTGAGAAGGTGAAGACTGAGTTGAAAGAAGAAGTGGCCAAAAATGTTCAGAAACTCAAAGCTCGTAAGAAGAAAGGATTGGAACATCTGCAGGCGGAGCTCGAGGTGGAGCTGACGTCAGAGAAAGAGAGATTGCAGACACTGAAGGCCAAACAACAGGACTCGTTGATGCGAGAAAGCAGAGAGTCTTTCACATCTGTACGTCAGGAAATGGAGCAGGAACAGAGGCGTACGTTGGAGCGTCTGAGAGAAGATCACGGGAAAGAGATCAGAAAACTCCAAGAGGAAAAGGATCTTCTAAAGGAGCAGCTACTTTCTTGCCTCAACCGGGAGAAGGAAGAATCTGCAAAAAAGTTGGAAGAGCTTCAAGAAACCCTCAAAGCCGAACGAGAACGGCAGGAACGTGAAACACGGGAAGAAAATGACTCTATTGTTGAGAAAGTGAAGACTGACCTGAAAGTAGAATTGGCCAAAACCGTAGAGAAACTCAAAGTTCGTAAGAAGAAACGATTGGAACATCTGCAGGCGGAGCTCGAGGTGGAGCTGACGTCAGAGAAAGAGAGATTGCAGACACTGAAGGCCAAACAACAGGACTCGTTGATGCGAGAAAGCAGAGAGTCTTTCACATCTGTACGCCAGGAAGTGGAGCAGGAACAGAGGCGTACGTTGGAGCGTCTGAGCGAAGATCACGAGAATGAGATCAGAAAGCTCCGAGAGAAACAATCAGAGGAAAAGGATCTTCTGAAGGAGCAGCTTCTTTCTCGCTTCAACCAGGAGAAGGAACAGCGAGAGGAGTGTCTCACTCTCCGTCTGCAGGAACTGGACTTTCGACATGAGGCCGAAGTTCTAAAAAGGCAACGGGAAAACTCAGACAAGATGTTGGAGCTGAAGGAGTTGCCGACCGAGCTGGAGGTGAGGCATAACCATCTGGAGAGCCAAGACGCCGGGCTCAAGGCGAAGGTGGAGAGGCTGAGTCAGAGAATGAGTTATTTAGAAGAAAAAGACAAAGCAGAAGAGAGAAAGTCTTTTCCCACACTTAAGAAGGAGGTGGAAAGAGAACATCGGTACGTGACATCAGACTGTCGATGTGACGTTTCTCTGGAGCTTCTGGAGAAGACCAACGACGAGCTGAGAACTTGTCGCCAGGAGAGAGAGAACCTGGTGACGATGGTGGACCAGCTGCAGAGACGGTCCGACAGACTGAGCTTCACAATGAACCAGTTTGAGACCAGTTCCTTACGATCAGACGTGAAACACTCTTCCAGGTTCAGTGAGGAGCCGGACCATGTGGGGTCTCCTCCTCTGTCCAGTCAAGTTGACGTCCACCACAGAACCAGACTCTTCCTGAAGTTAGAAGCAGACAGACTGGAGAGAGAGAACTCGAGGTGGAGAGAGTCGCAAACACCAAGTTCAAGGTTCTTGTCCTCGTGGAGTAAATACAGGACCGAGAATGCACACAGCGGCATCGCGGATCTAAGCAGCAGAGGTTACAACTATTAAACCTGCAGTTACTTAGGCCTAAACCAAAGGATATGAAAGAGGCACGAGAGCAGGGGTCCACATGGTATTGGACCATAGGGAGAGACCACATGGTATTGGACCATAGGGAGAGACGACATGGTATTGGTCCATAGGGAGAGACCACATGGTATTGGTCCATAGGGAAAGACCACATGGTATTGGACCATAGGGAGAGACCACATGGTATTGGATCATAGGGAGAGACCACATGGTATTGGACCATAGGGAGAGACCACATGGTATTGGTCCATAGGGAGAGACCATGTCCGTACATGTAGAGTGTCCTGGATCATCACCAAGATCATTAGTTAAATTTTAAGCCCTTTGGGGAGCTACCTGAAAGGGGCTGGTGAGCTACTGGTAGCTCCCGTGCCATAGGTTGGAAACCCCTGCACTAGAGAGACACCTACAGAGGCCACACCAGCAGAGGGGAAACCATAAAGACTAGTGTTGGTCTCGTACAGACTAGTGTTGGTCTCATACAGACTTTCAAGACCATGTGGCGCTAAAGTTGTTGGCTAGCTACATTGACCCTGAAAGAGGAAACACACAAACTGAAACCATACAAACCAGAATGAAAACCATGGATGAGTTGATGGTATGGTCTGGATCCTCCGGGTTCAGACCTTGAAGTCCTACAGCAGTGATGCTCTTCTGGTCCACAGGGTTGGGAAAGTCTCCTCAGGGAGCGGTCCCGGCTCGGTGGACAGTCCTGCATCACCGCGGCACACATACCGGACCCGAGGGACGCACACACACACACACACACACACACACACACACACACACACACACACACACACACACACACACACACACACACACACACACACACACACACACACACACACACACACACACACACACACACACAGGTTGTAAGAGTGATTCCAGATTCCAACAGCTCTGAAATAAATAAAAACTTAGCCGAAATCTTTGGTCTTTGTCGTGTTTTTTTGCCCTTTCACCTCAGCTCTGCCCTGGTCGTACCATGTGTAACCTCTGGTCCATGATCATCTCCTACATCTACGTCTGGTCTTACCATGTGTAACCTCTGGTCCATGATCATCTCCTACATGTACGTCTGGTCTTACCATGTGTAACCTCTGGTCCATGATCATCTCCTACATGTACGTCTGGTCTTACCATGTGTAACCTCTGGTCCATGATCATTTCCTACATGTACGTCTGGTCTTACCATGTGTAACCTCTGGTCCATGATCATTTCCTACATGTACGTCTGGTCTTACCATGTGTAACCTCTGGTCCATGATCATTTCCTACATGTACGTCTGGGTCTGATCCTAGTGGCTGCAGTTTCCTCGGTTGAATCCCCTCCGACCAATCAGAGAGCGGGGGAGGCGGGTGTTGTAGGCCGGTGTCGGTGACGTCAAGAGTTTGTGCTGAATTTACTGGTTGTAGTTTGTCGGCGAATGTCATAGTAAAATAATAAGTGAGACACACACACACAGACACGCACACACAGACACACACAGACACACACACACAGACACACACACACAGACACACACACACACACAGACACACACACACACAGACACACAGACACACACACACTCTCTCCTCTGACTCCTCCTATCTCCTCCTCCTCGCCCCTCCTCTCTCCTCTTCTGACTCCTCCTCTTCCTCCTCTTCCTCTCTCCTCCTCTGACTCCTCCTCCTCCTCTCTCCTCCTCTGATTCCTCCTCCTCGGACTCCTCTCTCCTCCTCTGACTCCTCCTTGACTCCTCCTCTGACTCCTCCTCCTCTCTCTTCTCCCCATGTGACTCCCCTTCTCTCCTCTGACTCCTCCTATCTCCTCCTCTTTCCTCCTCCTCTCTCTTCCTGACTCCTCCTATCTCCTCCTCCTCGCCCCTCCTCTCTCCTCCTCTGACTCCTCCTCCTCCTCTGACTCCTCCTCTCTCTTCCTCTCTTCTCCCCATGTGACTCCCCCTCTCTCCTCTGACTCCTCCTATCTCCTCCTCCTCGCCCCTCCTCTCTCTTCCTCTGACTCCTCCCATCTCCTCCCCCTTTCCCCTCCTCCCTCCCCCTCTCTCCTCCTCTGACTCCTCCTTGACTCCTCCTCTCTCTTCCTCTCTCCTCCCCATGTGACTCCCCCTCTCTCCGCTGACTCCTCCTATCGCTTCCTCCTCTCTCCTCCTCCTCTCTCTTCCTCTGACTCCTCCCATCTCCTTCTCCTTGGCCCTCCTCTCTCCCCCTCTCTCCTCCTCCTTTACTCCTCCTATAACTCCTCCTCTCTCCTCCTCTGACCCCTCCTCCTCTGACTTCCCCTCCTCTGACTCCTCCTTTACTCCTTGTCTGACTCCTCCTCTCTCCTCCTCTGACTCCTCCTCCTCTCTCTTCCTCTCCTCCCCATGTGACTCCCCCTCTCTCCTCTGACTCCTCCTATCTCCTCCTCCTCTCTCCTCCTCTGACTCCTCCTCCTCTCTCTTCCTCTGACTCCTCCTCTGACTCCTCCTCTCTCCTCCTCTGACTCCTCCTCTCTCCTCCTGTAGGATACCTGTCCAGAGTCCTCCGTAACTACACGGCTCGTGCGTGTGACGGGAGCGTGTTGAGCGTGTCGTGTCCGCCGCGCTCCTCCATCACGGTGCAGTCGGCTTTCTACGGCGTCAGAGGCTCCGACACTCACCGCTGCCCCCCCTCTCCTCAGGCCGTTCTGGGGTACTACAACCAGGACCAGGAGGAGAGGCTGTGTACCATGTCCACCGCACTGCAGGTAGGACCACACCATCAGAGAGAGACCAGAGAGGAACCAAAGAGTCTCTCTCTGGTCTCTCTCTTTGGTTCCTCTCTGGTTCCTCTCTGGTCCCTCTCTGGTCTCTCTCTGGTCTCTCTCTGGTTCCTCTCTGGTCCCTCTCTGGTCTCTCTCTGGTCTCTCTCTGGTCTCTCTCTTTGGTCTCTCTCTCTGGTTCCTCTCTGGTCTCTCTCTGGTCTCTCTCTTTGGTCTCTCTCTCTGGTTCCTCTCTGGTCCCTCTCTGGTCTCTCTCTGGTTCCTCTTTGGTTCCTCTTTGGTCCCTCTCTGGTCTCTCTCTGGTCTCTCTCTGGTCTCTCTCTGGTTCCTCTTTGGTTCCTCTTTGGTCCCTCTCTGGTCTCTCTCTGTTCTCTCTCTGGTCTCTCTCTGGTCCCTTTCTGGTCTCTCTCTCTGGTCTCTCTCTGGTCTCTCTCTCTGGTTCCTCTCTGGTCCCTCTCTGGTCTCTCTCTGGTCTCTCTCTGGTCTCTCTCTGTTCTCTCTCTCTGGTTCCTCTCTGGTCCCTCTCTGGTCTCTCTCTGGTCTCTCTCTGGTCTCTCTCTGTTCTCTCTCTCTGGTTCCTCTCTGGTTCCTCTCTGGTCCCTCTCTGGTCTCTCTCTCTGGTTCCTCTCTGGTCCCTCTCTGGTCTCTCTCTGGTCTCTCTCTGGTCTCTCTCTGTTCTCTCTCTCTGGTCTCTCTCTGGTCCCTCTCTGGTCTCTCTCTGGTCTCTCTCTCTGGTCCCTCTCTGGTCTCTCTCTGGTTCCTCTTTGGTTCCTCTTTGGTCCCTCTCTGGTCTCTCTCTGGTCTCTCTCTGTTCTCTCTCTCTGGTCTCTCTCTGGTCCCTTTCTGGTCTCTCTCTCTGGTCTTTCTCTCTGGTCTCTCTCTTTGGTCTCTCTCTTTGGTCTCTCTCTCTGGTTCCTCTCTGGTCCCTCTCTGGTCTCTCTCTGTTCTCTCTCTGTTCTCTCTCTCTGGTTCCTCTCTGGTCCCTCTCTGGTCTCTCTCTGGTCTCTCTCTCTGGTTCCTCTCTGGTCCCTCTCTGGTCTCTCTCTGGTCTCTCTCTGGTCTCTCTCTGGTCTCTCTCTGTTCTCTCTCTCTGGTCTCTCTCTGGTCTCTCTCTGGTCTCTCTCTGGTCTCTCTCTGGTCTCTCTCTGGTCCCTCTCTGGTCTCTCTCTGGTCTCTCTCTGTTCTCTCTCTCTGGTTTCTCTCTGGTTCCTCTCTGGTCTCTCTCTGGTCCCTCTCTGGTCTCTCTCTGGTCTCTCTCTGGTCTCTCTCTGGTCTCTCTCTGGTCTCTCTCTTTGGTCTCTCTCTGGTCTCTCTCTGGTCTCTCTCTGGTCTCTCTCTGGTCTCTCTCTGGTCTCTCTCTGGTCTCTCTCTGGTCTCTCTCTGGTCCCTCTCTGGTCTCTCTCTGGTCTCTCTCTGGTCTCTCCCTGGTCTCTGGACTCTGCAGCAGGAACATATTTGATCATCTGGGATTATGTAACGCTTTGTCGCTGAATTTTCCAGCAAATTAAACTTGATCAAAAGCGAACGATCTGCTCCAAACGGTTCTGTCTCCGTCTCATGAGACAGAACCGTTTCTTCTCACGGCTCAGGAGCAGGATTAGGATTATCTACAGGATCCAAACATTTATGAGTGACATTTATAGTATACATGTACTTCATGTAGCTCCGCCCCTTCTGTGTAAAAGCTCTCAGTCCTGTAAGATTATGACGTCACTGTACCACTGTGACATCACTGTGACATCACTGTGACATCACTGACATCAGTGTTGGAACAAATGCTCCCTGCGCCGTGTTGGGAGTTAAGCCGCGTTCAGATCGGATCCTGCCACGTCGGCTTTCAATGCAAAGTCAACTGTGACGCGCATTCTAGCGTCAAAACACATGTGCGTCTCGGAACGCACGGACTGCTCTGTAGAGACGCACGGACTGCTCTGTAGAGACGCACGGACTGTTCTGTAGAGACGCACGGACTGCTCTGTAGAGACACACGGACTGTTCTGTAGAGACGCACGGACTGTTCTGTAGAGACGCACGGACTGTTCTGTAGAGACGCACGGACTGTTCAGTAGAGACGCACAGACTGTTCAGTAGAGACACACGGACTGTTCTGTAGAGACGCACGGACTGTTCAGTAGAGACGCACGGACTGTTCTGTAGAGACGCACGGACTGTTCAGTGGAGACACACGGACTGCTCAGTAGAGACACACGGACTGTTCTGTAGAGACACACGGACTGTTCAGTAGAGACACACGGACTGTTCAGTAGAGACACACGGACTGTTCAGTAGAGACGCACGGACTGTTCAGTAGAAACACACGGACTGTTCAGTAGAGACACACGGACTGTTCTGTAGAGACGCACGGACTGCTCAGTAGAGACACACGGACTGTTCAGTAGAGACACACGGACTGTTCAGTAGAGACACACGGACTGTTCAGTAGAGACGCACGGACTGTTCTGTAGAGACGCACGGACTGTTCAGTGGAGACACACGGACTGTTCAGTAGAGACACACGGACTGTTCAGTGGAGACGCACGGACTGTTCAGTAGAGACGCACGGACTGTTCAGTAGAGACACACGGACTGTTCTGTAGAGACGCACGGACTGCTCAGTAGAGACACACGGACTGTTCAGTAGAGACACACGGACTGTTCAGTAGAGACACACGGACTGTTCAGTAGAGACGCACGGACTGTTCTGTAGAGACGCACGGACTGTTCAGTGGAGACACACGGACTGTTCAGTAGAGACACACGGACTGTTCAGTAGAGACGCACGGACTGTTCAGTAGAGACACACGGACTGTTCTGTAGAGACGCACGGACTGTTCAGTAGAGACGCACGGACTGTTCTGTAGAGACGCACGGACTGTTCAGTGGAGACACACGGACTGTTCAGTAGAGACACACGGACTGTTCAGTAGAGACGCACGGACTGTTCAGTAGAGACGCACGGACTGTTCAGTAGAGACGCACGGACTGTTCTGTAGAGACACACGGACTGTTCAGTAGAGACACACGGACTGTTCAGTAGAGACACACGGACTGTTCAGTAGAGACACACGGACTGTTCAGTAGAGACACACGGACTGTTCAGTAGAGACACACGGACTGCTCAGTAGAGACGCACGGACTGTTCAGTAGAGACACACGGACTGTTCAGTAGAGACGCACAGACTGTTCTGTAGAGACGCACGGACTGTTCAGTAGAGACACACGGACTGTTCAGTAGAGACACACGGACTGTTCAGTAGAGACACACGGACTGTTCAGTAGAGACGCACGGACTGTTCAGTAGAGACGCACGGACTGTTCAGTAGAGACACACGGACTGTTCAGTAGAGACACACGGACTGTTCTGTAGAGACGCACGGACTGCTCAGTAGAGACACACGGACTGTTCAGTAGAGACACACGGACTGTTCAGTAGAGACACACGGACTGTTCAGTAGAGACGCACGGACTGTTCAGTAGAGACGCACGGACTGTTCTGTAGAAACACACGGACTGTTCAGTGGAGACGCACGGACTGTTCAGTAGAGACGCACGGACTGTTCAGTAGAGACACACGGACTGTTCAGTAGAGACACACGGACTGTTCTGTAGAGACACACGGACTGTTCAGTAGAGACACACGGACTGTTCAGTAGAGACACACGGACTGTTCAGTAGAGACACACGGACTGTTCAGTAGAGACGCACGGACTGTTCAGTAGAGACGCACGGACTGTTCTGTAGAAACACACGGACTGTTCAGTAGAGACACACGGACTGTTCAGTAGAGACGCACGGACTGTTCTGTAGAGACGCACGGACTGTTCAGTAGAGACACACGGACTGTTCAGTAGAGACACACGGACTGTTCAGTGGAGACGCACGGACTGTTCAGTAGAGACGCACGGACTGTTCAGTAGAGACACACGGACTGTTCTGTAGAGACGCACGGACTGTTCAGTAGAGACACACAGACTGTTCAGTAGAGACACACGGACTGTTCAGTAGAGACGCACGGACTGTTCAGTAGAGACGCACGGACTGTTCTGTAGAGACGCACGGACTGTTCAGTAGAGACACACGGACTGTTCAGTAGAGACACACGGACTGTTCAGTAGAGACGCACGGACTGTTCAGTAGAGACGCACGGACTGTTCTGTAGAGACACACGGACTGTGCTGTAGAGACACACGGACTGCTCTGTAGAGACGCACGGACTGTTCTGTAGAGACGCACGAACTGCTCTGTAGAGACGCACGGACTGCGCGGGGAAGTCGACGCATGCAGGAGATGAATTTTGCTCAACCTTTCCTCGGGACGCTCGTGCAGCGACCAATCAGAGAGCTGCAAAGTGGTCACGGGGACATTAGCGGACTGAGCGAGCAGACTGAACATACTGTAAACAGCCAAAATAGGTGCTACACCAGGACTAAACACATACTGCTGTTATATAAAGTCACCGTGAACACATACTACTGTTATATAAAGTCACCTCCGTGAACACATACTGCTGTTATATAAAGTCACCTCCGTGAACACATACTACTGTTATATAAAGTCACCTCCGTGAACACATACTGCTGTTATATAAAGTCACCTCCGTGAACACATACTGCTGTTATATAAAGTCACCTCCGTGAACACATACTGCTGTTATATAAAGTCACCGTGAACACGTACTGCTGTTATATAAAGTCACCTCCGTGAACACATACTGCTGTTATATAAAGTCACCTCCGTGAACACATACTGCTGTTATATAAAGTCACCTCCGTGAACACATACTGCTGTTATATAAAGTCACCGTGAACACGTACTGCTGTTATATAAAGTCACCTCCGTGAACACATACTGCTGTTATATAAAGTCACCGTGAACACATACTACTGTTATATAAAGTCACCTCCGTGAACACATACTACTGTTATATAAAGCCACCTCCGTGAACACATACTGCTGTTATATAAAGTCACCTCCGTGAACACATACTACTGTTATATAAAGCCACCTCCGTGAACACATACTGCTGTTATATAAAGTCACCTCCGTGAACACATATTGCTGTTATATAAAGTCACCTCCGTGAACACATACTGCTGTTATATAAAGTCACCTCCGTGAACACATACTGCTGTCACCTCCGTGAACACATACTACTGTTATATAAAGTCACCTCCGTGAACACATACTGCTGTTATATAAAGTCACCTCCGTGAACACATACTGCTGTTATATATAGTCACCTCCGTGAACACATACTGCTGTTATATAAAGTCACCTCCGTGAACACATACTACTGTTATATAAAGTCACCTCCGTGAACACATACTGCTGTTATATAAAGTCACCTCCGTGAACACATACTGCTGTTATATATAGTCACCTCCGTGAACACATACTACTGTTATATAAAGTCACCTCCGTGAACACATACTGCTGTTATACAAAGTCACCTCCGTGAACACATACTGGTGTTACACAAAGTCACCTCCGTGAACACATACTGCTGTTATATAAAGTCACCTCCGTGATCACATACTGCTGTTATATAAAGTCACCTCCGTGAACACATACTGCTGTTATATAAAGTCACCTCCGTGAACACATACTGCTGTTATATAAAGTCACCGTGAACACATACTGCTGTTATATAAAGTCACCGTGAAAACATACTGTTGTTATATAAAGTCACCTCCGTGAACAAATACTGCTGTTATATAAAGTCACCTCCGTGAACACATCCTGCTGTTATATAAAGTCACCTCCGTGAACACATACTGCTGTTATATAAAGTCACCTCCGTGAACACATACTGCTGTTATATAAAGTCACCTCCATGAACACATACTGCTGTTATATAAAGTCACCTCCGTGAACACATACTGCTGTTATATAAAGTCACCTCCGTGAACACATACTGCTGTTATATAAAGTGACCTCCGTGAACACATACTGCTGTTATATAAAGTCACCTCCGTGAACACATACTACTGTTATATAAAGTCACTGTGAACACATACTGCTGTTATATGAAGTCACTGTGAACACATACTGCTGTTATATAAAGTCACCTCCGTGAACACATACTGCTGTTATATAAAGTCACCTCCGTGAACACATACTACTGTTATATAAAGTCACCTCCGTGAACACATACTGCTGTTATATAAAGTCACCTCCGTGAACACATACTGCTGTTATATAAAGTCACCTCCGTGAACACATACTACTGTTATATAAAGTCACCTCCGTGAACACATACTGCTGTTATATAAAGTCACCTCCGTGAACACATACTGCTGTTATATAAAGTCACCTCCGTGAACACATACTACTGTTATATAAAGTCACCTCCGTGAACACATACTGCTGTTATATAAAGTCACCTCCGTGAACACATACTGCTGTTATATAAAGTCACCTCCGTGAACACTTACTGCTGTCGGCGTCTGAACACAGCTTTACAGGCAGAAAGCATTCAAACTTAAACTTGTCCAAATATGTCCTGCTGAAGTTGTGATGTCACATTCTAAAACAGGAAGTAATCACGGTTTATATAAAGTCAGTGCCATTTCATGTGTTTTTGTATCGCGTGTTTGGACTTTACACAGCTGTCGATTCTCCAGATCAGAGAATCAGACCCAACAAGAATCACAGAACCATTGGACCATAAAGAGCAGGTCCAGGTCCAGGTCCAGGTCCCACCTCCTACAGTCTCCTCTGATGTGGTGTGTCCTTTTATTAACACTCTGTGTGTGTGTGTGTGTCTGTGTGTGTCTCTCTGTGTGTGTGTGTGTCTGTGTGTGTGTGTGTGTGTGTGTCTGTGTGTGTCTCTGTGTGTGTGTGTGTGTGTGTGTGTGTGTGTGTGTGTCTGTGTGTGTCTCTCTGTGTGTGTATTTGTGTGTTTGTGTGTGTATGTCTGTGTGTTTGTGTGTGCGCGTGTGTGTAGAAGATGTTGGATGAGTGCCAGGACAGACGGAGTTGCCAGGTTCTGATCCACAGTCGAGTGTTTGGCCCAGACCCGTGTCCGGGATCCAGGAAGTACCTGCTGCTGTGGTACAAGTGCAGACCCAGTAAGTCTCAGTATATATACTCTGTATACATGCACCAGTATATATACTCTGTATACATGCACCAGTATATATACTCTGTATACATGCACCAGTATATATACTCTGTATACATGTACCAGTATATATACTCTGTATACATGCACCAGTATATATACTCTGTATACATGTACCAGTTTATATACTCTGTATACATGCACCAGTATATATACTCTGTATACATGCACCAGTATATATACTTTGTATACATGTACCAGTATATATACTCTGTATACATGCACCAGTATATATACTCTGTATACATGCACCAGTATATATACTCTGTATACATGCACCAGTATATATACTCTGTATACATGCACCAGTATATATACTTTGTATACATGTACCAGTATATATACTCTGTATACATGCACCAGTATATATACTCTGTATACATGCACCAGTATATATACTCTGTACTCTGTATATACAGTGCCTTGCGAAAGTATTCGGCCCCCTTGAACCTTTCAACATGTCGCCACATTTTAGGCTTCAAACATAAAGATATAAAAACGTATTTTTTTGTCATGAATCAACAACAAGTGGGACACAATCGTGAAGTGGAACGAAATGTATTGGATAATTTAAAACATTTTAACAAATAAAAAACTGAAAAGTGGGGCGTGCAATATTATTCGGCCCCTTGCGCTAATACTTTGTAGTGCCACCTTTTGCTGCAATTACAGCTGCAGGTCGCTTGGGGTATGTCTCTATCAGTTTTGCACATCGAGAGACTGGAATTCTTGACCATTCTTCCTTGCAAAACAGCTGGAGCTCAGTGAGGTTGGATGGAGAGCGTTTGTGAACAGCAGTCTTCAGCTCTTTCCACAGATTCTCGATTGGATTCAGGTCTGGACTTTGACTTGGCCATTCTAACACCTGGATACGTCTATTTGTGAACCATTCCATTGTAGATTTGGCTTTATGTTTTGGATCATTGTCCTGTTGGAAGATAAATCTCCGTCCCAGTCTCAGGTCTTTTGCAGACTCCAACAGGTTTTCTTCCAGAATGGTCCTGTATTTGGCTCCATCCATCTTCCCATCAATTTTAGCCATCTTCCCTGTCCCTGCTGAAGAAAAGCAGGCCCAAAGCATGATGCTGCCACCACCATGTTTGACAGTGGGGATGGTGTGTTCAGGGTGATGAGCTGTGTTGCTTTTACGCCAAACATATCGTTTTGCATTGTGGCCAAAAAGTTTGATTTTGGTTTCATCTGACCAGAGCACCTTCTTCCACATGTTTGGTGTGTCTCCCAGGTGGCTTGTGGCAAACTTTAAACCAGAATTTTTATGGATATCTTTGAGAAATGGCCACTCTTCCATAAAGGCCAGATTTGTGCAGTGCATGACTGATTGTTGTCCTATGGACAGACTCTCCCACCTCAGCTGTAGTTATCTGCAGTTCATCCAGAGTGATCATGGGCCTCTTGGCTGCATCTCTGATCAGTCTTCTCCTTGTTTGAGATGAAAGTTTGGAGGGACGGCCGGGTCTTGGTAGATTTGCAGTGGTCTGATACTCCTTCCATTTCAATATAATTGCTTGCACAGTGCTCCTTGAGATGTTTAAAGCTTGGGAAATTAATCAATCAATCAAATCTTTATTTGTAGAGCACATTTAAAACAGCCTAGGCTTACCAAAGTGCTGAACAGACAGCGAGGAAAAATTATAAAATAAAAACACATAAAATACAGAAATGTATATACAAAAAGAAATCGAAAAATTTGTCTCTGTCTACTTGGTAGTAAAAGCCAAAGAAAAAAGATGCGTTTTAAGCAGGGATTTAAAGTGCTCGAGTGATTGTGCAGTTCTGATGTGCAAAGGTAAAAAGTTCCACAACTTTGGTCCTATAACAGAAAAAGCTCTGTCTCCTCTGGTCTTCAGCCTGGTCCTAGGGACGACAAGAAGGTGCTGATCTGCAGAGCGCAGTGCTCTGGAGGGAAGGTGAGGCTGGAGGAGTTCATATAAATAAGAAGGTGCCATTCTATTAAAACTTTTAAAAACGATAATAAGAATTTTAAAATGAATTCTAAAATATACCGGGAGCCAGTGCAGGGATTGCAAAACAGGAGTGATGTGCTCCCTGCGCTTTGTCCCTGTTAAAAGACGGGCTGCTGCATTTTGCACTCCCTGTAAGCGGCTGAGCTGGGCCTGGTCAATGCCGACATAGAGAGAGTTACAATAATCAAGCCTGGAAGTGATAAAAGCATGAATGGCCTTCTCAAAATGGGCATGTGGAATATAAGATTTTACTTTGCTAAGAACTCTGAGATAATAAAAACTTGTTTTAAGAACAGCATTTATCTGCTTATCAAATTTAAAATGGCTGTCAATAATAAATCCTAGATTCCTGGCGTGGGGCTTTTCATAAACCATAAGAGGTCCTATAGCACTGTCACAGTTCAGCAGAGGGTCAGAAGTCCCAAAGGTAAGTATTTCTGTTTTCCTGTTGTTTAAACTAAGGAAGTTATCTTGCATCCATTCCTGAACTTCCTTCAAACAATCAACAAGTGTCTGTACACAGCTGCTAGTCTGAATGGGCAGATATATTTGGACATCATCAGCATAGCAGTGGTAGGAAATATTATGCTTCTCAAATATAGCTCCTAAGGGAAGCATGTAAAGACAAAATAGGGTAGGGCCCAAAATACTGCCTTGGGGCACTCCACACTTTAAATTGGACGCTTGAGAGGAGAACTGGCCAAATTGAACAGAAAAGGTTCTCTCAGTCAGATAGGGACTGGAACCATTTAAGTGCAGTTCCTGTGATGCCCACTTGTTGCTCGAGGCGTGCAATAAGAATATCATGGTCCACCGTATCGAACGCTGACGATAAATCTAGGAGAACTAGAGCAGAAGGGCGGCCTGAGTCTGAGACTGAATAAAGATCATTAAGAACTCTAAGAAGAGCAGTCTCAGTACTATGCTTGGCTTTGAAACCTGACTGAAACTTCTCAGTGATGCTGTAAATATCAAGATGGTCCTGTAGTTGAACGAGAACAACCTTTTCCAAGATCTTAGAAATAAAAGGCAACTTTGAGATGGGCCTATAATTCGACAAGCATGTAGGGTCAAGATTGTGCTTTTTAAGAAGAGGTTGTACCACGGCATGTTTAAGTGTGATAGGTACACATCCTGAATTTAAAGATGCATTAATTATGTTAAGGACCCAAATCCCCACTGTGTTGAACACCTCCTTAAACAGACGAGATGGGATGGAGTCAAGGGGACAACAAGACGGGCGTAGCTTTTTTACAATGTCTGTCACAAATGCTAAGGACACATTTTCAAAACACTCAAATACATTTTGACAGCCATTATCTATATTCATAAAACTGGGCTTACACAACGGAGACTGCCTAATGGAGGCAATTTTGTCATTAAAAAATACAATAAAATCATTGCATAGTTTGTAAGAGGCCACTACAGGGGGAGAAGTGCATGGATTAATCAAAGAGGTCAGTGTATTAAAAAGAACCTGGGGTTTGTGGCAATTGATAGTAACAACGTTGGACAAAAATTTAGACTTGGCAGTTTTAACTGCTCTCTGATATGACTGTAGACTGTCTTTCAGCATGTCCAGTGACACCTGCAGACGGTCCTTTTGCCAGCGTCTCTCCGCACGTCTGCAGATGCGCCTCAGAGCCCGTGTTGTGTCATTAAGCCAGGGCTCAGCTTTAGGCTTTACGCATTTGACTCTGGATGGGGCTACGAGATCAATAATGCTTGAGCATGTAGCGTTGAATAAAGAGACCATGTCTTCCACAGCTAAATCACTGCCGCAGTCGTTGTTCAGTATAAAGTCAGAGAAAGCCAACGAAAATGTGAGTGCAGTTTGCGAGTTGCATGTGCGCACTTTGCGCGCAGGGGCACACGGCTTAATGTTAGATTTTGGAAGCGTCAGAGTAAAGAGCACGGCGTAGTGATCTGAGATACCCGTGTCACAGATATCAATAATCTCCAGATTCAGACCAAAAGACAGCACAAGATCGAGCGTATGTCCCTTTTCATGTGTTGGGCCAGGGACCAGCTGTGCCAAGTTAAACGTTTCTAAAACATTTAAAAAGTCCTTGACTAATGGTTTAGACTCGCAGCACACATGGAAATCTTTTTGTATCCAAATCCGGCTTTAAACTTCTCCACAACAGTATCTCGGACCTGCCTGGTGTGTTCCTTTGTCTTCATGGTTCTCTCTGTGCTTTAAACAGAACCCTGAGACTATCAAAGAGCAGGTGCATTTATACGGAGACTTGATTACACACAGGTGCATTCTATTTATCATCATCAGTCATTTAGGACAACATTGGATCATTCAAAGATCCTCACTGAACTTCTGGACTGAGTTTGCTGCACTGAAAGTAAAGGGGCCCAATAATATTGCACGCCCCACTTTTCAGTTTTTTATTTGTTAAAAAAGTTTAAATTATCCAATAAATTTTGTTCCACTTCACGATTGTGTCCTACTTGTTGTTGACAAAAAATTAAATTTTTATATCTTTATGTTTGAAGCCTGAAATGTGGCGAAATTTGAAAGGTTCAAGGGGGCCGAATACTTTCGCAAGGCACTGTACTGTATACTGAGGCATGTATACCTCTGTCTCGGTATACTGTACACACACACACACACACACCCACACACACACGCACACACGCGCACGCACACAAACATCAAAGAGTTTTCCTCCTCATGTAACACGACCACAAAACAGGATTTTTGTCTGTCTGTGTGTGTCTTTGTGTGTGTGTGTGTGTGTGTCTTTGTGTGTGTCCAGACGAGTACAAGTCGAAGGTTGTGTGTGAGGAGGAGAAGCTGAGGCTGAGCTGTAAGAGGGGGATGCAGATCCACCTTTACTCCGCGATGTTCGGACGCACTCAGCAGGGGGCGCTAGAGTGTCCCGACCACCACCGGAGAGGGCCCTCTGTGGGTGAGTGTCCCAACTGAGGCTGTAGACCCAGGACTGAGGCTGTAGACCCAGGA